AGAGGATGGTCAACAATTTCGCTGGGTGTAAGACCACGTGATGCGCAATCTACGGGGTTCTGTGCCGATGGAACGTACCTCCATATCTTTTGTGAAGTAAGTCCTTGGATTTTCGCAACCCGATTACCAACAAAAGTTTTAAGATTAGCTGATGGTGTATTGATCCAGGCAAGAGTCACCATAGAGTCGGTCCAAGCATAGTACTGGTTAATCGGTAATGACTTCAGGTTAGAACGGAGATAATCGATCGTACGTGCTAATAGTAGTGCCCCACAAAGTTCAAGTCGAGGAATCGACAGTTTCTTCTCCGGAGACACTTTAGATTTTCCCATTAATAAGTGAACTTGGATCTGACCGTTAGATGTGCGTGCTAGAAGGTAAGCAGCGGCGGCGTAGGCACTCTCCGAACTATCGCAAAATCCATGGAGTTCGTAGTTAGCATCCTCGACGGTAATCCGCCGGGCTACACATACTGAAGCAATAAAAGGCAACTCATCGTGATATCTTGTCCAAGCATCCTTGGCCACTACTGGCAGATCCTCATCCCAACCAATTCTTAGTGCCCATAAATACTTCATTAACCGTTTTAGGTTGGTTATTACCGGCGTCAAAAGACCTATCGGGTYATAGATGCGAGCAATCTCGGACAAAATCGCTCGTTTACTATACCTCACCGGGTTAGGTTGATACTGGTAAGCTATCGTGTCATTTTTGGGTTCCCACTTTAACCCAAGTACTTTTGTATAGTCTGATGTTGGCTCATCAAAGGTCACTGCCTCGGTTTGTCGGTGTTCGGGTGGTACAGATTCAAGCAGAGCAATGGAATTGCTAGACCATTTTCGTAGATCAAAGCCTCCTCGCTTTAACACGTTAATTAAATCTTGCTGCAGTTGAAGAGCCGATTCTTCACATTTCGTTCCAGTTGCTACATCATCCACGTAAAGATCGGTATGTATTACTTTTTGAACTTCTGGATGGGTTGCGGCTTCATCCGCAGCCAATTGGTGGAGGGTTCGAATGGCCAAAAAGGGCGAGGAACGCTGTCCAAACGTTACGGTTGTCATTTCAAACACTTGCACTGGATCTGTAGGCTGAAAACGATATAGAAGTCGCTGATATGCATGGTGTTCGCCAGTGATAGCGATTTGGCGAAACATTTTCCTTATATCTGCAGTGAAAACTATGGAATGTAATCGGAATCGTACTAAAATCCCCGATAAGTCTTGCTGAAGTTTGGGTCCAGGAAATAGACAATCGTTTAAAGATTTTCCATTGGAAGTAACTGCAGACGCATCATACACCACCCGTACTTTGGTAGTTAAACTCTCGGGCTTAAGTACTACATGGTGTGGAGTATAGTAGGAGTGTGAAGTCATAGTCTCAGTTGAGTCAACTGGTTTCATATGACCTGCATCGAGATAGTCTCGCATGGCTACATTATATTGCTGACGGAGTTCTTCAGACTTCTCTAGTCGGATTTCGAGTTTGTATAACCGCTGCGTGGCCATCGCTCGGGACTCTCCTAGATGTGGTGGGTTTTGTATGAATGGAAGATGCACCACGTATCGACCATCTGGTTTTCTTGTAGTTGTGGCGGTGTATAACTCMTCGCATTTTATGTTTTCGGGGGTCTGATGCTGGATTTTTGGTAGTTCCTCCAGGTCCCAAAAACGACGTAGTGTTGAATCAATCTCCTCCAATGCAGTTACGAATGTGTTGGCTGTCTCCATGGTTGTAGCTCCAGTGTTTCCCATAAGTGTCCATCCAAACACAGTTTCAAGCCCAACCGGCTCCGTCCCTGTACCTTCTCTACGACCACTTCGAGTAACATAGGGAACGACATCAGCGCCGAGTAAAATGTCYACTGGMATTGGCTCGTCGTACCTGGGATCTGCCAACTCAAGTCCCTTTAGATGTTGCCATTCGGCCTTCCATACGCGTCTTGATGGTAATAACCCTGTTATCCGAGGAACTACATAAGCATTGATGTTTATTTCAGGAGTA